GAGAACCTTCCATAAAGATATGATGTTCAACACCATGCGTTTTTACCGAGGAAATTGAAGAAAAACGGGTGAGTCCTGGAAATTCAGTTAAAAATTTGTGGTACACAGAATCAGGAGATGTGGTAAAAATTGACAAATGCGCAACTTCTTGAATTTTTCCAGTATTCATAAGACCGGTAACGTTATCAATCAATTTCTTGTTTTTAATGTCAATCAGGAGATTAAAATGACAAAGGAAATCGGCGCCTAAAATAGGACGTTGAATATCTGCGACACAAAATTTCCATTTGAATTCTCTCCTAAGACCGAGGTTCAAAATTAAAGTTTTAGAACCGTAAGTACTAATTTGAGTACCATTTGCGGCAAAAAGTTTTAAATTAGTATGCCACGGCTTCAATAAAACCCTTTTAGGTAACAACGATATATCAGCGTCCGTATCGACAAGAAAATTCAAATTTGAATGTCTGTCGAAAATAATGAGGCGATTGTTAGAAACACCGTCGTAAGCAGCATCAGTCTTAAACGGCGTTTTTAGTTTTCCTGTGAAGCCAAGAATGTTTTGGACATAGAACAAGGTAAAGTACATCGTTTAGCCTTATCACCAAACTTCTTATGGTAAAAGCAAACTGATGTATCTTTAATATCTTTATTTGATTTGTCTTTGTTACGCGATAACGATCTAAATCTTCTATTCTCTCTAGACCGGCTTTTGGAACGATCTCGACGACGAGAAACTTCAAGAGCTTCGATTCTTCGTAGCAAATCCGCGAAATCCGAAGATTTATTATTTGCATTATTGGAAACTTCCGCGACTTGCAAACCGCCATCCCGATCAGCAATTTTATCGGCTAATTCCGCAAGTTTAACAAGAGGAACGTCTTCTACTACGGCTAAATCATTTGCAAAACACTATCCGCTAAAGATCCTCCAGACAAATGACGAATTTCTCGAAGTAATTCCGAAGGCTTTTTATCGTTAAGTTCAATTCCAGCTAATATTTGTCTCAAACGTTTTTCCTCTGAATCCGTAAAGCGATTTATTAATATTTTCTTTAAATAATTATATTTATCTGTTTCAGGTGGATTTTCAATGACTTCAGATATGTTTATTAAGGCTTGTTCATCAAGATAACGAATGACAGAACTATATTTAATATCATCTGATCGAATTCGATAAACCGTAAACTCACTTTCAATAGAAGCAAACCAGAGTTTAGGTTGCTTATGCCAGAAAGTCGGTAGTTTTAATAAACGAAACTCATTTGAGTGAATTTGTAACATAGGATCACTCACTTGATGCCCAGCTTGAGAAGGTAAAATATTAATATTATCTGATCCAACCTGATTTGATCCGCTCGCCAAATCCATATCAATCTGTGTATCCGTACAGAGTCTAACTGGTGATCTATCGATTGGCATTTTCCTCTTGTTCCAGGAATCCGATAAAATGATTTGAGAATTTCCGTGAAGGACTAATCCGACTCTGATGTTTCAAAGATCCAGAGAAAGAATCTCTTAAAATCAGAATTTCCAGCAATTCCTCCGAGCGATGATAATATTTCGCAGACGTCAAATACGACGATCACTTGACACTTATTCCGCATCAGCTTTTAAAATGCGTCGGCTTTAATATCACCGTCGTATGTCGGGGTCACCAAAATGTAGCGACTTATAAATAAATTCACCAGATTTTAAAAAGAAAGTAATGTTTATTCATTGAAAGTATAAAGCAAAAGACAAAAAGAATTAATATATAACAAATAAATAAATGAATGTGTTGTTACGGAAATATATATTTCTTTTTTAAAAAAAATATGTTAATGAATTGAAGTTATTACAAATGTATAAAGATGTAAAAAGTGTAAAAGTGCAGTGAAAAGTGTAAGGTGTAATAAAAGTGTAGAGTGTAAATGAAAGGTGTGGATGATGAATGCTACAAACTTGCACCTTGAATAAAATATCAGTTACTTTTCATGGTAATATATTATTACTAAATTTAGATAATATACACTTTACGTATGTTCACTTTGAACTGGCACCTTGAATAACATATCAGTTATTTTTCGTGATAATTTATTATTAGATCGTTTAAATTTTTAAAGGTTTAAATTTTTGAGTACCTTCTTTTGAACATGGCCTGACCTTTTCATTTTTATGATTTTTTTAGAATTCACTTATTATTAACCATTATAGGTGAAGTAATAGTGAATGAGGTAAAATGTGAAAAGTGAAGAAGAAAAGGGTATCAATTCTGTAACTTTTATCAAAGTGTAAACGTAAAAAGTGAAAAATTTCCGCCAATCACGCATTAATTTAATGTTTTTATTTGATTTAGACATTAATATATGTTTAATTAACAAAATATTGTAATAATTTAGTTGAAAGGTTTAGTCAAGTTAACAAAACCATAAAAAAATACTTTTTTTAAAAAAAAGGTAAAAAAAGGGCGCCAAGTTTACGCGTCATGTGTTAAAGTGTTTTATAAAAAATGTAAAACTTTTATGTTGTAAAATTAATTTTATAGAAAATATAAAACTTTTATGTTGTAAAATTAATATTTCTAAAAAAAAAAAATTATATCTAAAATTTGCGCCAAATGAATAAATATTTATAAAAAAAATTGAAAATTAGAAACTTAAACAAAATTAAAAAATTAATACAAAATAAAAAAAAATTAAAAAATTTTAGTTAAAAAAACTTTTAGCATTAATTTAATGTGTGATTGGGGGAAATTTTTCACTTTTCACATTTTCACTTTAATAAAAGTTACAGAATTGATACCAAGAAATGTAGTGTGAGAAGAAAAAAAGAAAAAAATTATAAAATTGCAGGAAAAAATTTATAGGTACACACATTGTTTTTTCAAGGTTATTTTAAATGCTTAAGAGAATATGCGTTATGTGCTATATTTTTTATTTAAGAAATAAAAACGTTGAGAGAGAGAGAGAGAGAGAGAGAGAGAACTAATAGAATGTATTAAATTGAATTTTTATATATAATGTTTGTATTTAATTGATTTATTTTTTATTAGGTACGTTTAGAAGTATTATATATCAGGAAGTGAAAGCGAAAGGACAAAAGCAGAAGAAATATATATTTAGATTATTCAGTTATAGATTGTTCAGGTAATTATGTCTATTATTAACAAAACTGTTGTCAACAAAAAGATTACAATCTAGTAAACATAAGCTAACTGCAATGTGACATGTCTCATACTCATATGTAACGCAATTATATTGTTAAATTGGAAATTATAATATATTGATGTTATCCCAGATAAGCAAGTATGCTCAAGCAACGTATAAAAATAAGATGCTAGCAATCAATGCTGGTTCTTTGCTAGGAATATGAATTAAATATTTGAGTAGCTAACATGACGTTAACATTTTGTCGTAATCAAATGCTCAGCTAAAAAAGAAACATATCAAATAAGCATCCTATTAACAAAATGTTAGCATATATTTTCAGTTTGCTAACAGATATAAATATGCTGCTATCATTATGTCAGCATTAATTGTCAACATCTATTTAAGTCTAATGCCAGCATAATGTTTAAAACGTGCAATGTTTCATTTCCGACATCAAATGCTAGCAAACAATAGCACAATGGACGACATAGATGCGTAGCAAGATGGTAACATTTTTATTAGCAACATGAAAGCAACTTGTGTTCTCAATGGTTATCTGGGATGTCACTGTTAGCTTGTAAAATGTATCAAAAGGTGTTGAACATATATAATACATATATATGTACATATATACTATATTTAATATTTCTATTTATTGATTATTTATTTTTATTAGGTATGTTTAAAAGTATTGCGTACAAAAAGAGCTACGTATAAAGGAACTACCTGCAAGGATAATAAAGAATAAAGTAGATAATAGAGGAAAATCGAAAAATCGGAAAGATGGCGGCAAGTGGAAAGATGTGGTGCGAGAGTGCTCCGGAAATTGTGTAACAATAGGAAGAAGGAAGAGGAGTTTGAGGAGAAAGGAGAAATATTGAAGAACTGAGGTTGGGAAGAGGAGAGAAGAACAAAGGGAGGAGAGGAAGGATAAGTGATGAAAAATGAAAGAAAAAGGAGGCAAGTGGAGGATGGGGGGACACAAGGAGAATAACTCGCACGAGAGGAGCAGGAGATGGGTGGAGAAAGAAAGAGACAGGAAGAAAGGAAGGAAGGAATAGGAGGAAAGGAGAATGAGAGGAATATGGTAGAATTGGAGAAAGAGAAATACTTCGGAATTTCGACCGTGAAAAGTGTACACGTGGCAGGGATCATCATGTCGATAAGGCAGGATGGTAAGGAAGGAAACGGAAATTAGGACAGGTGAGAGGGAAGGAAGGAGAGGGCGCAGTGGAGAGGAAGGAAGCTAGGAAATGGCGCGCGCACTACCGCGCAGGATACGCAGGATAGTAGCGAGTAGCGACATAGGGAAATGAGAAGAAAGTAGAGAGCAGGGGGAAGGTGAGAGTGGGAGGTATCCCTATACCTAGGGACCTAGAGAGAAAGCAGAAGGATCTGAAGAACGGGAGCAGGTGTAGGAGAGGTGGAAAGAAGGTGCAGGAGGAGTACGGGAGAGGAGGAAGCGGCGCGCGCAATATCACGCAGGAGAGGCGCATAAGTGAGCACATGGCATAAGAGGCAAAAGGCAGAAAGAGGTTACGAGGCAAAGAGAAGGCAAGAACAGGAGAAGTGCTAAGAGGAAAAGGAGAGGAAAGTGGAGGAAGGCAAAGGAGAGAGTGTGGAAGAGAAGGTGAAGAAGAGAGAAGAAGAGGAAGAGGAAGGAGAGAAAGGAAAGAGACGGGAAGAGGACAGAAAGGAGAGAAAGAGGTTAGGCGCGGAGAGAGGAGAGGTTAGGAGGAAGAAACGAGAGAACAGTGAAGAATAAGAAGAGGAGGAGATGAAGAAAGGCAAAGGGGGAAGTGAAAAGGCGAGAGGAGGAGAGGGGAACAGTGCGTGCCGGTGTAAGGAAGAATGAGAGGAAATAAGGAGTAGAATGGACAGGATGGAAGAGAAGATGGAGGAGCTGCTGAAATGGGTGAAAGGAAGAGAGGAAAAGGGGAGTGAGAAGGAAGGAGACAGGGAGATTGGAAGAAAGGAGGCAGTGGAAAAGGGAGAAGAGGATACAAAGGAGGAGACGGGGGAGGATAAGGAAGAGAAGGAAAAAGAGGAACTGCAGGTGAGAGGGGAGAGAAGGGGAGGACAAAGTAAGGCGGAGGAGAGAAGAGGAGAGTGGTGGGAGCTAGTGAAGAGGGAAGAGGTCGAGAAGCAGGGGGGAAAAGATGACAAGGAAAAGGGAGCTAGGAAGAAAAAAGAAGAGGAAAGGGAGACGGAGGAAAAGGTAAAGTGGGGTGAAGGAAAGGAGATAGGAGGAAAAAAGGAGGGAGAAGGGAAAGTCAGCGGAAAGGAAGAAAGCAGAGAAGGAGAAGAAGAGAGTTACAGGGAGGAAAGAAAGAGGAGGACGGAGGAGGAAGAAGACAGGGAAGGCGAGGAAGAAGTAAAGGGGAGAAGAGGAGAGGAGGTGTGGAGAAAGGTGATGGAGAGAGAAGGAAAAAGGAGTAAGGAGAGGGAGGAGAGAGAAAAAAGGGAGAGAATAGAGAGGAAAGCGGAGGAGCTGGAGAGAAGATGGAAGAGAAGAAGAAATGTGGCATGGAGAGGACTTGACGGAGAGGATCATGAGGAGAGGAGGTTGTTGATGGAAAGGATGACGGAGGTAATATTGGACAGAAAGGTAGGAATAGTAAGGTCATAAGAGGTGATGATGGTAAGATGATTGTGATGGTGGAAATGGAAAAGGAGGAGGACAAAAGGGAACTGCTGGAGAACGGAAGGATGATGTGGAGAAAATGGGAGGTAGGAGTAGATGAGGACTTGACGAGGGAGGAAAGGAGGATAAGATGGGTGATGATGGATAGGGCGAGAAGAGAGAGGGCAAGAGGGAGGGACGCGATGGTGTATGGAAAGAGAATGTGGATAAATGGGGAGGAATGGATATGGAATGATGAGGAACAAAGATTAGAGAGAAGGGGGAGTAAAGGGATGAGGGGAAAAGGGGAGTAGAGGCAAGGGGGGTCAGAGAGAAAAGGGCTGAGCAGGGAAAAGAGGAGATGAGGAACAAAGGCTAGAGAGGAAAAGGGAATAAGAAAAGGATAGGAAGAGGGGGGGGGTTAAGGAAGAGGGGGTAGGAGAGAAAAGGAAAAAAATAGGAAAGGAAGGAGACAGGGGAAAAGGGACAGGGGGGAAGGGATGCAGATACATTGTAAGGTCGCAAAATGGCCAGGAAGAAGAGGGGCACAATTGTAGTATGGGGAAAGGTAAGGGGGGAAGGGAAGGAGAGGAAAGGAGAGTTTGTTTCTTCTGTTTAAGGTAAAGAGAGAGGAACAGGACGGAGAAGAGAGACCAGGAGCAGAGAAGAAGGCAGAGAAAACAAGGAAGGAAAGGAACAGGAAAAGGAGAAACGGAAGTTAAGAGGGATAAAGGAGGAGGAGACAGCTGAGAAAAACTAAATCCCGAGGAAAGGACAAGAGAGAGAAGGCAGAGGAACGGGAAGAAGGGACGAGAACAGCTGTCCGAGGAAGCGGAAGAGAGAGGAGAGGGAAAGGGGATAGGGGATATATGTGTGAATTTGTATTATATGTAATATATTGTATATTATGGTAGAGGAGAGAAGAAAGGAGACTGTAAGGGGTTGGCGTCCTCTGAAAACGCCCCGGCAACCTCAAGGGGAGTCCGGAATAAACCTAAGTCTAAGTCTAATAGAGGAAAATTAGGAAGAAGAAAGCGGAAAGAAAAATAGGATTTTAAGGCGAAAAAGAAGATGACGCTAATAAATTGTTTGCTAAAGAGCGATTTTCAAGGTCATTTAAAAGTCTTTATGTTATATATATATTATATATATATTATCGATTTGTTGCAATATTCACTATAAAAAATTGTAAGGGTAAGATGGCTAAAAATGAATAATTTACAAGATAGTTAACATAATTTTACATAAACTGAAATATTTCATAAAATAAAATATTTGTAATATTTCGAAGTTTATGTAAGATTATGTAAAAATTATACCTTTATAACTTTTTATACTAAATATTGCGAGGAATCGATTTATATAAGAAAAATTAAGGTAATTTTATTTTGAAAATATAAGTGACCTTTAAATAACCTTGAAAATCGCCGTTTAGGAAAAAGTCTGTGTCAACTTTTTCTTTTTCGAAATCCTGCAACTTTTGTCTAAATTTAATAGAAAATGTATAAAAAATGCTCGACATTAGTACACACACACACGCACACGCGTGCGCGCGCGCACACACACACACACACACACATATGGGTACATTTATATAAATAGGGTGCTTCAGGAGGAATGATCAGGATTCTAGGATATGATTGTACACATCATTTTAAGCAAAGAAGTTTAGATAAACATGTTTAATAATTGTTCTATTCTGGTCATAAAAATACGTATTTAGTCTAAGAACGTATCTATTTATTAACTTATTAGAATGAAATTGTATGAAACATTTTTTAAGCTTACACTTTTAAATAATTATTATAATTTTGGCATAAGTAAATACATGAGCCATTCTATAATTATATCAGAAACCAAAAAGTTTAAACTAATAGGAAATGGTAAAAGTTTAATATAATTATTGTTTTATAGTTCGGTTCTTCTAAGTTAATAAATGTATTCGTTTTTAAACTTGAATATGTTGTATCTTTATAACTACCCAGAATCCAAAATAGAATACATGTTTATATTAACATTTTTACTTAAAATGATGTGTACATACAATTATGTCCTAGCTTGCTATACGTTTAAGGCCATTCCACAATAGGTTGCAAATGTTCTTGTTGCAAGTTGACAATTGCGGATTGACCAATCAGCTGACAAGTTGCTTTGCTCTGATTGATCAATTCGCAATTGTCAACTGGCAACGGGAACATTTGCAATTTATTGTGGAGAATGGCCTTTAAAAGTATACTTCTAAATGAATCTAATAAAAAATTTCTCAATAAAGTAACAAGCTAACAAATTATAACATAAATGTTATAATTTCCCATTTAACAATGTAACTGTTACATATGTATAAAGTATGTTACATTGGAGTTATATTGTTGAGTAGTTCTTGTACGTAGTTTTTCTTGTATGTTTGTGATGAACGTTTTCATTTTAAGAAATAAATTAAATATCTTCATTTTGAATACGTATACAAATAAAATTGATTTGTATGACAAAATAAATAAAAATAAACAAAAATAAATAAATTAAATTTATTTAATAAGAAAAATAAGATTTGTTTGTCAAATTTGTTATAAATATTTAAAATGATAACCTGAAATATGAAAGAACTGACAATTTTTCATTTTATTGTATCTATTCATATATTATAATTTTACATTTCAATATCATTTGTAATGTATGAATAGACGATATATTTAAAAGAAATACAATTTAGGAAACTTATAAATAAAGTTTGGAAAATTGTGGGTTTTATCGAATTTAATTATTTTCAATGTATTCAGATTTACTAAGTTAAATGCCGCATCTCGTATATAGAAAAATAGAATACTGGCAACATTTCCTTGCCATATAAATCTTTATGTAACCAAATTAAAATTTAAAATAAAATTACGCTTTTATTTAAGAAGACGTGCAAGAAGATCAAGAAAGAAGAAAAGAAGATCAAGAAAGAAGAAAAGAAGATCAAGAAAGAAGAAAAGAAGATCGAGAAAGAAGAAAAGAAGATCAAGAAAGAAGAAAAGAAAAAAATTATAAGGCTGCTGTGCGCCTGTTATGTTTGTAAAAAAACGGCTGTTGTGCGCCTATAAAAAGTGACTGCTGTGCGTCCATACGAGGCTGCTGTGCGCCTAAAAAAAGTGGCTGCTGTGCGCCTATAAATAGTGGCTGCTGTGCGCCCATACAAGGCTGCTGTGCGCCTATGAAAAGGAGCTGCTGTGCGCCCATACAAGGCTGCTATGCGCCTAAAAAAAGTAGCTGCTGTGCGCCTGTAAAGAGTGGCTGCTTTGCACCGATAAAGAGTGGCTGCTTTGCGCCGATAAATTATTACATATTTCAAAAAAATATCTATAAATAATAAAAATGTCTATAAAGACAAAAAGATATAGAATTTTATCTCCTGAGGATAAAAATATAATTGTTCGAGGTGAATGGTTAACTGATAAACATATGGAACATTTTGATTATTTATTACAAAATTTTTCGGATTATAGACCTGTCGAAACATGGCGATTACAACTTCCTGATACGATTCAGCCTATGCCAATTGATAAAAAACATATACAAATATTACATAGTTCGTCAGGTCCATCAGATGGACATTGGATGTGCAGTTACTACGATACAAAAAATATATTTATTTATGATTCATTAAATAATAAAAAATTGCATAGACATCATGAACAATTCTTGAAAAGATTATTTCCAACATATAACTTCGAAAAAAATTCTATCCAATTTCCTACTGTACAATACCAACCAAACAGTAGCGATTGCGGAGTTTTTGCAATAGCCTTTGCAATTTCATTGTTATTCAATATTAAACCCAAAAAAATAAAATATGATCATAGTTTAATGCGTTTGCATTTAATTAAGATTTTTGAATCTAATGTTATTGAGCATTTTCCACAAAATCCACAATATGCTCCTCAAAAGGTGCTTCCATTAGCAGTAATAAAAGCAAAAGAGATTGAAGCATCTCGTAAACGTACTATACGTCAATGTGAGACGGAACGACAATATTTGAATCGATTAGAAGAGCAACGTCATATTTACCAACCTGAAAAAGAGTTAAATAATAATCAATTTCAATTAACAGAAAATAATTCAAAGAATTTAATGAAAACAAACATTGATATTTATGAAGAAACTAAGCAGCATGACTTGGAAAATCATTGTGTAAATAAACGTGCACGCTATTCACAAGATTTAGAACAAAATCAGGCTAAACAACATGATTTATATGAGCAAGATTCCAAGAATAATTGCATTGAACAGCACGATCTGTATAAACAGAACTTAGAAGATAAACGCGCTAAACGACGTGAAACGATCGTTATAAACAAAATATAGAAGACAATCGCGCTAAACAGCGCAATCGATATAGACGAAATTTAGAATACAATCGCGCTAAACGTGTGATCGTTATAAACAAAATTTAGAAGACAATCGCGCTAAAAAGCGTAATCGATATCAACGGAACTTAGAAGATGAACGCATTAAAGATCGATATCGATATGAACACGATTTAGAAAATAAACGCGCACAAAAGCGTATGCGTTATTGGAAAAACTTTGAGTATGAACGAGATAGATAAAAAAGATTGGATCCTAATCGCAAATGGCTTTATAATAAGCGATATTATCAGACAAAAAGACAAAAAATCAAAACAAAATCTACATTTGAAATAAAAACTTGCAATATTGCTAAAAAAATTACTAAAATGTATAAACAATTCTGGTCGAAGAATACCATAAAACTTTGTAATTGTTCAGAAATATTTATAAAAAATATTATTGAAAAAATCAATATTAAAGGTTATATTGAGAAACGATTGGAAGCCGAAAAAATTGTACGTTGGTGCATGTGTATTAGGAAAAATTATATTCGCAATATATACAAAATGTTAAGTTTAATTAAAAAGAAATCAGAAGTGTATTTGACTCTTGTCGCAGATTGTTCTACAATCGAAGACAAATTAACTGCACTATGTGGCGAATCTAGACAGACAGCCTCATCTGAAAATTATTTTATTGAGTCTACATATCATTTCAGACTATAAAACTAACAATCCGCTTTTAATTGACCGTGTTCTCAGAAGTCTCTTAAAACCATAAATACATGTACCTTAAACAATGAACCAAAACTGATGTGTAATACTGCAAGCTGTAAAATTAACGATCCGCTTTTAATTGATCGTTATCAGAAGTTTCTCGAAACCGTAAATACATGTACTTTAAAAAATGTACCAAAACTTATGCAAAATATTCATAAATGTACAATGAAAATTGCAAATAAGAAATTGGGTCATACGCGTAGCTGTTATATTGATATAACACTTTGCGAAGGAATGTTTCTTCCAGTTCAATTATTATCGCCTCATTTTCCAAAAGTAAGATATATGAAGCGTTTAATTTATCAACTTACATATTTTTATCGAAAGTTGGAAAATCCAGATGATGCTTTAAATAATGTAGATATGAATACTTTGAATGAAATTGTGACTTCTGCACAGGAGAAAGTAGATATGTACAGACATCAACGGATTGATACAATTTTGAGTGATGATGATATTATGTTTAAATATCGTTTAGCATTTAAAGCATTGACTGAACGCTCTGTGGACACATCACGACATGTTTGCGTATCATGCGAGAGATTGTGTTATAAAAAAAAGTGTTTCTAAAGTCAATAGTCTTCAGACACAAGTACATGTTAAAATTTGGAAAGATTTAATGACGTATGTACAACAACAAAAAGTTGATGCGCAATATATATGTAATTATTGTGCAGGCCAATTTCGTAAAGGCTTAATGCCTGCATACTGCGTCTTAAATAATCTCTTTACAAATCAGGTGCCTGAAGTAATATCATCTCTTAATACATTCGAAAAAATTCTTATACAGAGAGCTAAAGCGTTTCAAACTGTCCTTAAAATAGGAACTGTTATTAATAAAAAGTTGCCTCAAAGACAAATGGTATCAAAAGTTAAAGGTAGAACATTTCATTTACCACTTCCGTTACAGGAGACATTGAATAAATTATGTTCTAATACTGATCCAATAAATATTAATCATGAGTTATATATATTAGTTAGAGGTATCCCGACAAAATCAAAGATTATTTGGGAAGAGGTAGTTGATGTTAAAAAAGTATTTGACGCTTTAACGTGGTTAAAGCGCAACAATACTTTATATTCTCATATTATATTGCCAAATGAATTACAATGATTTACGTTTACCAAAATTAAAAAATTCAGAATTTCAAATAGAAGATGAGACAGAAGATAATGCAGAAATAGCTGATGATGAGACTGAATTATTAAATGAGACAGAAGATAATGTAGAAGTAGCTGATGATGAGACTAAATTATTAAATGAGACAGAAGGTAATGCAGAAGTAGCTGATGATAAGACTGAATTATTAAATGATCCGATAGAAGAGATAAAAAATGATATGTTAGAAGGTCGACGGAAAGCAATGTTGACTCAAGTGACTAATGCTGAAAACGATGGCTATTACGAACAATATACCATCTATCCCTTATATGAAAAGAAAGCAAATAAAACTGCGACAGCTTTATATCAAATGTTAAAAATTCAGGACTTGCCTCTGAACAATCGTGAGCAACATTTAGATTTAATGTGTTTTCCAGATTTATATTTTTCTGGTATTAATGGACAACGTGAGATTAGACAAGTGAAACTTCATGATCATGAATTTATTAAATGTTGTTTGACATCTAAACATCCACCAGTATAGATTAAATCTACAATATGTATTTTATTTATTGAACGATGCAAATATGCGTCAATTAAGTCGTGGAATTTTTCATAAAATAAATGTAACTAATCCGCGATTTCGTTATACAGCTGCAGAATACCTAGACGCAATGTCGAAAAAATTGTTGGAATCTAATTTGAGTACAATATTTGCCACACTTCGAAATACGGAGCAATATTAGTGTAAATCGAGAAACGATTTAAATTGTATGACGCAACATTATGGACCTGCGACATGGTTTTTAACACTCAGTCCAAGTAAGTGGTTGTGGGAAGATTTAGGTGAATATATTCGTGAAGTAAATGAATGGCATGACGCTTCCTTAAGCGTTAGCGCACTCGTTGTTAGAGATCCAGTATCAACATCCAGGTTTCTCGATAATATGTTTCGGCAATGCTTGACTTCATTAGGTCTAAAGATCATCCAATTGGAGAAGTAACGTACTATTTCTGGCGACGAGAATATCAAGGTAGAGGTATACAACATTTTCACTTATTAATTTGAATTAAAAATGCACCAATTTTCGGTAAATCTACTATTGAGGAAGTTTCCAAATTTATTTCACAACATATAAGCTGCACAATACCGGATCAAAATATTTCGCCATTGTTGTACAGACGTGTTGATACGCATCAGCGACATACACATAATGATTATTGTCTTCGTTCTAAAAAAGTAGGACGTAAAGTTATTCGTCGATGTCGTTTTGGATTTCCTCGTCCCGTTACTGAAACTTTGAATATCAGGGATGTGGCAACTTCGATAGCCGGTAGAAAACAATTGAAACATAAAAGTAGACTTTACGATCTTCCTCGAACGGATAATGAAGGTAATATAAATGACTATAATCCTGTTCTTCTTACTGCATGGAAAGGTAATATGGATATACAATTTATTGGTAAAAAATCATCGCTGCTAACCTGGTATGTTACTAAATATATGAATAAAGCGGGAAAAAGTGAATTATTTGAGAATATTCTTGATAGTAAGGATAACAAAAATAAATTATTAGCGAGTCATCTTTGGAATATTGCTTTGCGATTTTCGAATAATAGAGAATGTGGAGCTCTCGAAGCTGCTGATATATTGTTAGGTATTCCTTTGTATGGAACTGATCGAAATACAACCATCAGATGGTTAGATGTTAATCAAATACGATATAGAAAATTAAAAAGTCGTAAAGAAATTGAAGCTCTTGATTCTGAATCTACAGATATATTTTATCAATCTTTGACAGATGATCATTATCCACATAGACCAAACGAATTAGAAAATACGTCTCTTTATGAATTTGCACAGTGATACGATATCTCAAAGATCAAACCGAAAAATAAGTTTATTGAATATTATAAAATAGGTAATGGTTGTGTTATCTTAAACGGCGACAGCGCGGATATCTTATTAATCATTTTAGATATAATGTTAATACACAGCCGGAAAATTATTTCTTTGCGTTATTGCTTATGTTTAAACCATGGCGAAAATTAGAGGATCTTAAAAATGAATGCGATACTTATACCGAATCGTTTCACAAAGTAAAACTGCATCTTGTAGAAGCATTGCAATATTATAAAAAATTATAAGAATTGCAAAAAGCATTTGAAACTGCAAAACAGTTAGTTCAGCAATGCTTAGATGACGATTTGCAAAAACAACAGTCTCAGGATGATCCTGAAAATGCAATAGGTATTCAAAATATAGAGGCTGGTGAAGCAATGCAAGATTTTAAAGATCTTGGTGATAGAGCAATTCAAGAAATTGATGTATCTGACATGATAGTAAAATTAAATACGGATCAAAAACGAGTATTTGATAAAGTTACCAATGCTATAGAGTCCGATAAATCAATATTACGATTATATGTTAGCGGAGAAGGTGGTACTGGAAAAAGTTTCTTAATCAAGACTATTAAATGCTGGATAAAACAAAATCTCAACAAAGATACTGCTGTAACAGCACCTACTGGTATAGCAGCATTTAATATAAATGGTTTGACAGTTCATAGATTGCTTCAATTACCCGTTGAACATGGTCAAACTCCTAAGTATAAACAATTATCTGATTGTGTATTAAAAGTTTTACGAACAGATCTTAAAGATGTTATTCTTTTCGTAATTGATGAAGTGTCAATGATATCTAATTTGACTTTAATATATATTCATCTTTGATTGTCTGAGATATTTGATACTAGTGATTGCGATGATGGTTGGTTTGGTCGAAAGCATATTCTTTTATTCGGAGACTTGCTTCAATTGCCTCCTGTACGCGAAGATCTTATCTTTACACATTTATCCGATCAAAAAACTGCTAATTATCTTGGTTCTTTAAATGCTGTTAATTTATGGATTACATTATTTGAATATGATGAATTGATAATCAATATGCGTCAGCATAAGGAGATAATTCATACCGTGAATTATTGTCGCGAATTCGTATTGGTTTAGTGACAAAATCTGATTGTAAAATTCTAGAGAGTAGAAAAATATCTTTCAAAGCTGATTCTTTCGAATCTAGATTAAATGAATTATGTGATTTTATTAACAGTTTATCATCGGACATTGTTTGTTTATTTCCTACTTGTAATATGTGTGATGTCCTTAATAATGCAATGTTAAGTCGCATTACTTCCAAAGAACTATTATTAATTGCTGAAGATACGATTGATTGTACATCATATGTAAAAAAGAAAGTATTAAAAGTATTGTCAAATAACGATGATGATAGTTCTCGAACAGCTGGACTTTCAAAACAAATTACAATTAAAATTGGAGCAAAAGTTATGATTCGGCGTAACATCGATGCCAGTTTGGGTCTTGTAAACGGTACAATTGCTAAAGTAATTTTAATTGTACGAGAAACATCTACTGATGACGTAGAAAAGATTAAACTTCTTTTACCATCAGGTTTAGAATATGAAATTGAAAGAGTAACGGCTAAATTTCAGGTATTGGATAGAGCGTATGTGATTCGAAAACAATTTCCATTATCTTTAAGTTATGGCATCACTATTCATAAAAGCCAAGGATTAAGTTTGCAAAGTGTTGTTATGGATATTGGCAACTCTGTATTTAGTTGTGGTCAAATTTATGTTGCCTTGTCGCGAGTAACATCTCTAGAAGGAGTGCATTTAATAAACTTTGATCCTTCAACAGTAATAGCTAACGAAAAAGCTATTATTGAATATAATGTGATAAAAATAAGGCCAACTTATCGAGCTGAATATTCGAGATGTTCAGTCAACTACCATTTATTACATGTATAAATTATGAAACTACAGTCATTATATTAAAACTAACGCAAATTACAATCATTCTATAAACGTTTCGACCGTACGCGGTCTTCTTCAGTATAATTATTGAAATATAAATTCATACAAATTCACATAATATCGAAATTTAATTATAGTTATTCAGAATCGAGAGTTTTTGAGCAATTAACGCGTGTTCTAATCCGTCCTGTCCAACAATGTTCGCCTCGATATGATCTCTGATTTTGTTCAGATCTCGGATAGTTTCATCGTTAATATGCGAGAAATTAACCCGTTCCGTAGGCGCTATCATCGTCCTTCTTGACAATTTTGCCACTTATTAACAGTTATTAAGGATGACACATACAAACCAACAATACAGAAAGACAGCTCATTTTAAACTCTCAACTCGCAGAGTTTAAAATGAGCTGTCTTTCTGTATTGTTGGTTTGTTATGTGTCATCCTTAATAACTGTTAATAAGTGGCAAAATTGTCAAGAAGGACGATGATAGCGCCTACGGAACGGGTTAATTTCTCGCATATTAACGATGAAACTATCCGAGATCTGAACAAAATCAGAGATCATATCGAGGCGAACATTGTTGGACAGGACGGATTAGAACACGCGTTAATTGCTCAAAAACTCTCGATTCTGAATAACTATAATTAAATTTCGATATTATGTGAATTTGTATGAATTTATATTTCAATAATTATACTGAAGAAGACCGCGTGCGGTCGAAACGTTTATAGAATGATTGTAATTTGCGTTAGTTTTAATATAATGACTGTAGTTTCATAATTTATACATGTAATAAATGGTAGTTGACTGAACATCTCGAATATTCAGCTCGATAAGTTGGCCTTATTTTTATCACTTTGTTTTCAGTATACGAGCGACAATTTGTATTAATTTATTGAATATAATCTTTAAAACAGATATACAATCCGAAAGCAGAAATGATTGCTGTGTCAAAAGAACGTTGTCGTAAAGTAAAAGATGTTCCATGGGCGTTACCAAACATAGTTACTTCTGTTCAAAAATCAAATTCAGATCGAAAAATTCAACATACAGTTTCAAATAAAAGAATTCAAAGCACTGCTTGGATCATACGTGGTTTTCAGAATACAGACAAGATTTCATGTTATGCAAATACAGTATTGCAATGTTTATTACATTTAAATATTATTAGGCAGCAGTTGATTAATTGCGATAAAACAGACGTTTTACGTATATTAATCCATCGATATAAAAATGGAATGCGAAATCTAAATACATATGCAATACGGCAATGTTTAGGAGAATATTTTTCGAGTATGGTAAGACGCGAAACGCGTACGATTTTCTTACGGCACTTTGCGAAAAATATAATTGCATTACAAATTTGATACATCAAGTAACTTTTACCAAGCGATGAAAAAACATGTGGTAATACAAAAACTATTGTTGAAAATAATATTGCTATTTCAATTTCCCTTGATAATTTAAAAAAAAAAAGTTGTAATCTTAATGAATTATTAAATTCTACATTTTCACATTGGTTTCACTTACACAACGAATCATGTGAATATTGTACTAGAACTGATCAAATATTTAAAAATAAAGTAATATTAACAAGAGAAATAATTGTTATTCGTTTAATACTATTTTTAGCACAAGATGGTAAATTAATAAAAGCAGAAAACAAATTTAATTTATGTGCTGTTCCAACAACTAAAGTATTAAAGCGGGACAATTGTACAAGACGATGAGTGCTATACTTTATGATAGTTCGTGCACCGATGAAGGTCATTATGTAAGCATATGTAGAGAAGGACTATCTAATATTTGGATCGAAATAGATGATGCAGAAGTAAAAAAGAGGCAGTAGCCTAGAGGTGCTAAAGATGTTTATATAATATTTTTACAAAAAATAGGTAATAAATAATACTAATTCGATATAAAATAAAGTAGTTATAAAATTCTTCCTAAATAGATTTTTATAATATCAAGTTTATGACTATTACTATTTAATCATTTAATATTGTATTTCGATCAGTCCTATATAAAAAAAGGTTTCGTAATATATTAGCAATTTTATGACAACGCTTACATTCTGCATTATTCGTGAAATGCAAAAAAATATTTTTTACTTAAAATACAAGATAGTTATTTTTATCTATAATAAGCAAAGATGACCGTCGTATTTTAAAATATGACGGGGGTGGTGGCGGGTTCTTTGCTTATTTATTTAAAGATCCTTATTATATACAAAAATGAATGATATAATCTCTAAAAACTCACCTTTAAAAAAAGGCGACCAGTAAAGGGCACGTCATTAACAAAAATTATCCATTGCAAACCCATGTAGAATCCTATCCTATTGCAAACCCATGTAGAATCCTATGAAAAATTAATCATTGCAAACTCATGTAGAATCCTAGGCAAAATTAACCATTGCAAACCCATGTAGAATCGTACCCATTGCAAACCTATGTGGAATCCTATGAAAAATTAACCATTGAAAACCCATGTAGAATCCTATGAAAAATTAACCATTGCAAACCCATGTAGAATCCTATGAAAAATTAACCATTGCAAACCCATGTAGAAAATTGTATTAAAAATTATCCATTGCAAACTTATGTAGAATCCTACATTGCAAACCCATGTACAATGCATTTTGTTTATCTTTTTTTTTTTAAAAGATAAGTTTTTTTATGGTACGATTTTACATTTGCAAATTTAAATTTTTACTGATTCATTATACGACTCTATATATGTCTGCAACTTTAATTGCAAATAACATGTGGAAATAAAGACACTTTTATTATATAATTCGAACTCAATCTATCGATTAAGTCTAGTACAAACTCGATTGCTTCAGCCGTTATTGAGGATTCGAAATTTATAATAGACTCAAATGTCCGACTCGCGTTAAGATGCACGGTGTCTCGGCTACGCCCTTAACTGGTCGCGAGACACTACCGTGTCTCTTGATAATATTCAATGCGAATATTCCGAAATTAAGAACATTTACATTTAATAAGAATATTCATAGAACATCGTGTACACGATGTCATCAATTCTGTATTGCGTTGCTGCATGTTAATAGTTGTCAAATACAATCAATATTGGATGAGATTTCGAATCTTCGGGAGCAGATTAACCGTTTGGAGACAAATGTTATTGAAGAATTAAATACTATAAAAACACAAATAACATCAAAAAATTCCAGAAAGCGACAAAATAATGATCCATTAGAAACACTTGCAAAAAATCAAATTATAGTTGTCGTTGCAAAACGAATTGTCTATCGAGGTTTTGTGGTTGCGCAAAACGAAAAATTTCTTGCAAAGTAATATGTAAATGTGATATTCAACTTTGTGAAAACAAGGTAATATTTATTGTTATTTACTGATTTATAAAATGTTTTTATCGTGAGTAGCATTTTTAAGCAACTCTACGTAGAAATTAATTTTATTTTACAGGATACACATGATAATACTGCACATGCTGGAAAGAGCACTGATGCTGAGACATCTAAAAATAAAAATACTATAAGTAACGAAGTTGATCCTATTAACCCTATGAGGCCCAAGCGGCAACTATGTAAGACGCCCCCCAAAAAAAATCACATAAGCTATAAATAAAAATACAAAAATTTTATCTTCTGTTAAAGGTATGTTAAATGAAGTTAAATGAACAAATTGTTTGCATTGTTTATAGACATTTATTATATTTCATCATTGTCATTATTTACATCTGTGAATTTCTTTGCCAATTATGTTATTCATTATATTATTTATAATTCTT